CATGACAATACAGCATATTCATAGCCATAACCCATCTGAAGCACTGAACACTATTACGGCATGTTAACAGTCGCACCCTGGCAGATTTTCGCCTACTCGGGACTAAGGGTCAGGTTGAAGTTGATCGGATTTCCCCAAAGGAAGCCCGGTATGTGTGAGGGTCGAAGAAGGTTATGTGTGGCACTCACAGACAGTCTGTTTACATTTGCCATCGATGACGCCTACCTCACACCACTGACGACTTTGACCTTTTCTTGCCATCGGAACATTGGGCGTAAGAAGATTGAAGAAAAGTGGATATGTTGCAAGCTCATTTCACTATAACGCGATCCAAGCTACCACGCTCTACCCATGGCAGTGCTAGACCCCGTAACCGACGACTGCCAAATTATCGCATCTGAAGTACCATTTGAGTACGAGACTCCTGACAGGTTATTAAAGGTGCCTTCTTCAGGAATCCATACAACGGGTTATATGAGCAGTTCCTGCTTACATATTCAATGGAGCGTTTTTAGTGCACACGGTCGACTGTAAAGCAATTATATCCTGCGCACTTACTCTGGTTGTAGATAGTTAACGTTTAGTGATATCTAGACGGAAGAGACAAAAACACGAAATGGAGCCCTCCGACTGAACTTTGATTGAACTTAATGCTTTAAAGATAGAGAAATAGCCTTTAAGAAGTGTCACGCGAATGGTTCCGAATCCCGTCTGCAAACGCACATGCACATAAAGTTTCAAAACTCTATGCTATATCCTTTTCACGTAAGGAAAATCACACATTTCTCTACGTTAGTGCGAAGATGTCATATACTACTAATTCCAATTTTTCGTAGGCGGCACTATTAAGCGTACTGATGCGATACTGCATGAATGGACACTTCATGGTCTTAAAAATCTCATAATTCGAAACTATTTTAAAACCGAAAGATACTCTTTCTACAAGCCTTATATTAGAAGAAACGATCGGATCTTATTTCGTAGTCGTGCCTGCAGTAGACAAGCCCCATCCTAACCCCGAACCCCGATCCCTAAACTTAGCCTTAACCCCTAACTCTAACCCATAACCCTAACCCATAACAGGTAAAGCTAAGAAAGAAGATCTTGCCGAAGAAACATTAATTTGCTACCAAATGAGTACAGGGAGGAATGTTTTTGTGCGTGTCTTCCATGCAATATATCAATGTGAAAGTTTCATATTACATAAATAGTCCGACAGGACAACGGGCTCGTGGCCCACTGGGTAGAGGCGTGGACTTCTAAACTAACAGGTCGCGAGTTCGAGGCTCGAGTGTTCCACACTTCGGGCTTGGGTATGGCTGGCTGACGACGGCTAATATGCCATAAATGGCCATTCCAGTCTCCCTTGTCTTTGTCGGTAATACCATTCTGACTATAAATAGTCCTTTTTTACTCAACTTGGTTTTCGCATACGGCCAGAAAGAAGCTCGTTCAGCGACTGAAATATTCTTGGATTATGCTGCACGATAATCAATATTACAACTCCAACTAAGCAATCCTTCCTAATCGAAATTACATTTCAGAATTTCAGCCAAAATTTCATGAGGTAGCCTACCTACTGTAGTTGTAACATTGTTTTTCGCAATATACGTTGGGGCCAAGTTACAAAGGGTGGATAGAAGGCAAATCCTATGGGGCGCACTTTATAAACAGAAGCAAATTAACCGATCTTTGAAAAGTCATTGACGGAGATTTCAACGGGTAGACGCCTAACAATTTTTTTTTCAAATGTTGGGACAAATCCGACTGTTCTTCCGTAAAATAAAAACAGCATATATTTAAGTCCCTTAGGTAGAGCAAGGCAAACACAAAATGCCCTAGGTCTTCTCAGGCGGTCGAGAAGTATTTTTGAGAAAGCAAGGGGGACTTTGGTCAGTATTTCTGTTCCCATTGCCATAGTCGGTCAACATTTCCAATCCTGAGGCCTTAATTCGAGTTCAGCCGAGTGTTGAGGTCTTAAATTAAAGCTAAACGTCAGACCGCTTAATAAAACCCTAGAAAAGTGATGGCTGAATGCGGGTCAGCAAGCAGAGTGGGTCGCGACTAAATAGACAGGAAAACGAACTAAAGGGTGAACAACTGAAAGTAAAGACCTGGCGCTAGACAGGCAGAAAATAGAACTAGGCGCGAAAACCTGGAACTAGCCAGGTAGTATCGAAAGCTTTAACAGAAGCATTTATACTTCGTATACAGGCTCAAAAGCACAAAATGGACCAGAAAATTCGTGCACTTGAAAAGTCACAGAACAGAAAAGTTATCTGAATTCTAGAAAATGACTAT